AATTTTACAGCTTAACTAGTAACTCAAAAACAAGCTCCTAAAAAAGAAAATGCAGTGTATTACAGAAACATATTTTGCAAAGTTATTTTGACAAGTATAGTTTCCATCAACTTATTTATGGTGATACCTTATCCATACTAACATTGGTTGCACATATATATATGCACATATTTATTTTTCTAAAAATATTTTTTAAAAAGGCTTTCTGGTAAGCTACCTAACTTCGCACTTGTTACTGACAGCATGGGATAGATTATCATTTTGGTGTGGCTTGAACATTTTAAAGAGTAATAAATCACGCCTGGGATCTATTGTTCTGTCATCATTTGAGAATGAGAATGCTGAGAGCCCTTCTCTTGTACAACTGGAATGCTGGAAAGCACTGAAAATCCCAAAGTTAATGGGTTTTTTTGGTAATTATTCTTACTTTACAGGGTTACAGTTAGGAAGCTTAAGAATTTCAACCATTTTCTAACACTTCCTACAAATGTTTTATGCCAGAAGCCCCTATCATTTGCCTGAATATTTTCTACATGAGAATCCACGCTTTAAATGTCATGAAATATGTCTTAAACAGTAGAGCCATGGTTGCACCGTACTTGATTTTGCCATTAAAATCTGTTGCCTAGGAAATGACCCCCTTCTGCCATCAAAAGACTCCAATGTGTAATTATTCTTAACGAGTTACTAAAAGGTAAATCTCACGTGGTGGGATGAAAATATTTAAAATGTATTGATGTTTAAGAAAAGAACAACACATTTGTGCTGAAGTGAATACTGCGTGGTGTTACGGCTGCCATGAGAAGTATATCTTAACCTAACACTAATTGCTTATTTTATTTCATTACCTAAGAAAAACTCAGCACAAGTACCAATAAATGCACACTAGGGAAACAGAATTAACAGTGGAATTCAAAGAGAGTTGTGGAGCCAGCTCCACTACAATCCTTCTAAATCCGTGTCTAACCAAAACTGACACAGAGCATTTCCAAATAGGTAAAGCTGGGAAAATCTGGAGAAAGAAGTGCTGTAAAATGTAAGAGCAAAGGGTTTTTATTCCCTCCATTCAGATCTAAAGGTTTGTCCCTTTAAATAAGCAGAGATGGTATTTAAATGAATGCATTCTTAAGAGAAAAAAATCAACATTTTTATGCCATTATTTAAAGATGTCTTCTAGTAAGTACAATCTGTGTACACATCTATTGCCCAGGAAAAATCTCCAAAGCCCTTCCAGACTCTATTTTTAAAGCTTACACGATAAAAACCACTGTAAAAATAATGGCTGATAATAACTTAACCCTTGTCTTGCTCCCACCAAAGACCATGGTGGGAAGCAAATATTTTATAGCTCTTGCTTTTTCACATCTCCTTTCCCTAGCAGTCCCTGGTTTCATGTTCTTCATTGTTAGTCTGGTACATGGGTAAGCTATTCTTGCAAGCTTAGATTCTTCAAGAGACACAGGATGCCCCTAGAGCCAAGGCTATTGAATAACTTAACCCTTGTCTTGCTCCCACCAAAGACCATGGTGGGAAGCAAATATTTTATAGCTCTTGCTTTTTCACATCTCCTTTCCCTAGCAGTCCCTGGTTTCATGTTCTTCATTGTTAGTCTGGTACATGGGTAAGCTATTCTTGCAAGCTTAGATTCTTCAAGAGACACAGGATGCCCCTAGAGCCAAGGCTATTGCTCAGTGGTTAGCACTTAAC